GTCTGTCTGTCTGTCTGTCTGTCTGTCTGTCTGTCTGTCTGTCTGTCTGTCTGTCTGTCTGTCTGTCTGTCTGTCTGTCTGTCTGTCTGTCATTGGCAGAGTATTTGTGTTTGTTAATGTTAGCAGTGATGGTATTTTTAAATGGGATCGACTCCAAATTCATCAGTTGTAGGTGTTCCTTCGATGATTATTTTTGTTCACATGTGCTCAGTGGTTCATGAGATATTTAACTAACTGTACAGACAGGTGAGCACACACTAACAGACGTATGGAAAAAGTACATAATCACTCTGCCTTTGCCTATAGCAGCGGGCAATAAAAGTACGAGTTAATCCTGGTTAGACTGAAATTCCTGAAGCAWTCTTAAGTTGTCAGACTGTGATGAAACAGCTGGAGGAAGCAGTAAAAGCAGATGTCAAACCAAGTGCATGCAAAATCAAGAATGCATGCTAAAAAACATTAGTTCTGCTCTCTCACATCTGTCCCACTCCCAAAATGTTGGTTAATTGTTCAGAGTTTGSGATTTGTTTTGCACAAAATCCACAACTTTTCAAAGTTCTCTGTCTAAAGGTATGAATTTTTTATTTGCCTTTGGAAAATAAGGYTGAATTCCTTCATGAGTGCTCACACCATTCTCCAGTTTATCACTTCAAGGACAAATAACTTCATTTTTTTTGTTAAATTCCGTTTCTTTTATTTTTAGAGGACAAAGATTCTGATGGAAAAGAAAAAAAGTCCAAGTCAAAGGAGAGTGACAAGAAAAAGGAACCGGCCTCGATGTTTGTGATAAAYGGAGACAAAGAACCTAAAAGCAAAAAGAAGGGTAGTTATTTGAGCTATTTTAATGACTTGTTTTATCTTACCTCAAATAAGGTCTCAACATATTTTAATCATTCAGGAATAYGATCTGTGTAGCTTTTATTACAGAAAAATAAACATTCGTGGATAAAAAGCTGAAATTCTTGTAAATTTAAAGGGTTTGGCTGACGTTCCTGTTTACTGTGCAGCTGCCAAGTCGGACAGTGATGACAGCGAAGAGGAGACAAAGTCGAGCAAATCTAAGAAGAAATCCACGGCTGGCTCTGCATCCATGTTTCAAGCATCAACTGAAAAGGACAAAAACAAGGACAAGAAGCCAAAGAAAAAAGGCTTGTTTGCTACAAAAAGCTCTTTTTTGTTTAAATCTGTTTGATCAGTATGTGAGACATTTGTTGTCTGTTCCAGGAAAGACAGAAGACAGCGATGAATCTGACTCTGAAAAAGAAGAAAAGTCCAAGAAGAAAAAGGGAAAAGGAAAGAAGAAGAAGGTACAAATACCCTAATAAAACATGTCATGTTGCAAATGTTTTAAAATCTGCATTAAATCTATTCTAAACATGACTCCCTCAGGAGAGAGCCCCCTCACCGGACATTGAGTTTGATGACTTGGAGAAGTTTGTGATGCAGCCAGCGCCGCAGGGTGTGACGGTGAAATGCAGAGTGACCCGGGACCAGAGGGGAGTGGATAAGAGCCTCTACCCCCTGTATTACCTTCATCTGGACAAYGAAAAGAAGGTCAAGTCATCACATCAATGTTGTTAGGTTCTAAAAAGGAAAACAGCTGTGTGGGTTTAACATGTGCAGTCTGATCAACTTTTATAATTTGGTAGAGTTTCTAAAATCACATTTTCTGAGCTATAAAAATAAGTAACAAACTTTGAAGCAAAAATTCCAAAATTTAGGGTAACAAACAGCTCCTGCAGAAATTTTCTTTACGTAACTTTGTTTTTACTTGAATTTGGTCTCTGTATCAAATTTTGTCCAGAACAAACACACATRATCCTGTTTTTATCGTAACTTGTTCATGATTCAAGTGTTGAGATATACATACATGACTTTTTATAAATTAAAATGACAATGTCATTGTAGTTCATGGTTTTGGCTTTTGTGAAGATTGTTTATTTCATTGGTGTTTAATCCAGTTTGAAAGTGTTAAAAGGTGCTTTATAATAACTAAATCCAATTCATTTCATTGACAGGACACCATTTTGCTACAAAGGTCATTTAAGGGATTTGGATATATCATAAAATAAACAGGACTTTTACAAAATCAGGCTACAAATGTACAAAATAAATGTCTGAAAATAATGATAAACATAATTGGGCCTAGAACAGAACCTTGTGGAMCACCCCCAGAAACACATACCTCATGATACAAAAATTTAACATCATGAAGCTTTGGACAGAGCAGGACATGGYCTGCAGTATCAAATGGTTTATACAAAAACAATAAAAAGTATCATTTTTATCTATAACTGATTGAATTTGAGTACATTTGTGACAGCAGACATTGTGTTAAGGACCACCCTGAAAGCGGACTTGATCAGCCTCAGGATGAAAGCTGTGAAAAAAATAATAATTAGTCACTCACTATGAACTTAAAAACCTTTGCAGCCAGGGCAATTTGAATGCTTGATTAAAGTTCWGAACATGAATCACTCAGGCAACTAATATGTACTCTATTTTGTGAAAAATAAACAGCCCTCCTATAAAACAGTGCAGAACAGATTTTTCTACCGTATCATTTATTGACAAAAAGACAAGACTCCGCATACTTTCTTGTGATCCAGCATTTCAGCTTATTTTTACCTTTACTCTTTGTAGACATTCCTGTTGGCCGGAAGGAAAAGGAAGAAGAGCACGACTTCAAATTACCTCATTTCCATAGATGCCACAGATTTATCAAGAGGTGGTGAGAATTTCGTTGGAAAGTTAAGGTATACAAAAAATGTGCAATGAAAATAAAATCTGTTATATTTTAAATTTAAGAAATTTGCAGCTATTTTAATGTAGCTGTTTTTTTTTTACATTGTTCAGGTCAAATTTAATGGGAACCAAGTTTACGGTATTTGACAATGCTCTGAACCCAGAAAGAGCTCTTCCAGATATGTCTAATGCACGACAAGAGTTAGCAGGCATCATTTATGTGAGTCATTTAACAGCTTAAACGGCACAATTCACAATAGTCCTTGTTTTATATACAGATGTATCCTAATGGTTTTATATTAACATTTGTTTGTTTCTGGCTCCAGGAGACAAATGTTTTAGGAATGAAAGGACCCAGAAGAATGACGGTCATCATTCCAGGGATGAGCAAGGACAACGACAGAGTCCCACTCAGACCCAGAAATGTAAGATGCATCGTAATTGTAGAAAAATTGTTTCTTTACACGTAATGTAATTTGTAAGCAGAGGGCATTTTTCTGGTTCTAGCAAATGTTAGGTAGGTATCAAGACTTATCAAGAATTTTATCAACACACTAAAACTCATAATTTGTCACCAATTGAGGGTTCTAGAGCTTAAAGTGCCTGTGACATCAAATTTTTGTAATAAACATGAATGCATTTTTCGAAAGATAACATTGAAAGCATACTGCAAAACAAAAATCATATCGCTGAGATGAACGGTYRTTGAGATATTTRCATGTAAAGAAACAGGAAGTGATGTCAAAGGGGAATGTCAGCATGTAAACAGTGTTGTTACAAAAGCTAACAAAAGAGACTGTAGAGAAGAATCTGATGCTTCTTTAGATTATTTTTAGTCGCTATCAAAGAGAGACGAAGAAGAGTTAAAGTTTAAATAATTTTGTTTTAAAAAACAGAGACCTGCTAGTTTATTTTATTAATGAGTTCCCCTTTGATGTCACTTCCTGTTTCACTTTGGCTAAGCCAAATTAAAAAAAGGGCCAATTATGTGACAAAATGGGTAGAATCATGTGTACAATGCAAATTTTCTTAAGTAAGGAGATGCTTTCTTTGACTTTTTGTATTTGAAGGACAGGCATGTCACAAGCACTTTAAATCATTTCCCCACCTGTTGAACCTTGTAGTTAATCTTACCAAACATGAAATCATCAAGATGCAAATCTAACCAAAAGTATGATAATTGAGCCCTTTAAAACTGGAGGGAAAAAAAGACGGCTCAAGAACAAACAACAAAATTAATTTTTGCATCTCATTATGTTTGAATAAATGTTCGTTTCAGTTTGTGTCTGTTTAMAGCAGAGACCGAATTGGCTTTTTTTACTTTGAATATCAGTAAAAAAATAATAATTTTTTGTTCATAAATACAAGAATCAATCTGTTTGGAGTCACTTTCAAAATTACAAAACCACAAAAGAGAAATGTACTAAAATGCATTCTTCCTAACAGATGCTCAGTGCCAGTGTTCTCCTCACAGTTTGATTCATGGTTTGTTTATTAGAAGAGCAACAAAAGGCCAGTGGGTAAAGTCATATTGGTCTTTGTTGATGTTCGCTGAGTTATGTTTCATCAATCGTCCACAGGAATGTGACGGCTTGTTGGTGAGGTACCAGAATAGAAGGACGGAAAATCTGATTGAGCTTCACAACAAGACGCCCGTGTGGAACGAAGAAACCACCTCTCACGTGCTGAACTTTAACGGCAGAGTCACCCAGGCCTCGGTCAAGAACTTCCAGATAGTTCATTCCAAGGACTGTGAGTATCCATCTGTCTTCTTCTGAAAGAGCTCCTGCTAGAAGTGACAATAAAAAGGATTTCACTGAGAAGTATAAGGAGGGTAGCAGAATAGCAAGAATTGTCCTGATGCATCTCAGTAACCCAGGCAGAAAACATCAAAAAGAAAAATCAGTAGGTCCGAAATATTTCGTCTCTCCTCCAAGAGACTTCTTCAGTCTGATGAGTTTCAGGTGAACTCAGCCTTAGAAGCACTGCCTCCACATGGACAAACTGGTTAGTCACATGCAAAAGAGGGTCATCGCCTAACAAGCAAAAGACAAAATTATTAGGCTTTGTACAGACTAAGTTTTAGACAAACAAGTTTKTTTTTCTAGAGGTATGAAACAACTCTCTCTCTCTTTCTCTTTAAAACAACCTATTATTGTGAAAGAATGCTACAAAATCTTGTTTTAAACCTCTACACTTTTGCATGACGTGGTTTGTTTAGTTTGCTGTTGTTTTCTCAATCATACAATGTTACAATGTGAATGTCTGTGTTGAGCACAGACAAAAATACTTATTTTGACTAAACCTACAATTGATGTCATAGATGATAAGAACTGTTAGAACAATACATCAAAACTGACTGGACTACTCCTTTAAATACCATGTATACTGTTTGTATTTCCAATAGACATTGTTTCATTTAAATTTGCTTCACTTTTTTTTTCAGTGGACTACATTGTGATGCAGTTTGGAAGAATAGCTGATGACATTTTCACTCTGGACTATAACTACCCCCTGTGTGCCGTCCAGGCCTTTGCCATCGCGCTCTCCAGCTTTGATGGCAAAATCGCTTGTGAATAATCCAATAGTCAACAACAACAACAGCAAACACCAAAACCAGAGCACAGCAATCGCACACTCATATCCGATCCGACCAGCCTAGACTCCGGACTCGACTGCACACTTTTTTCTGAGACGGGCGGCGATAAGAAACGACGGTTTTCTTGTGAGCGTCRAACTTCTTGTTGCTCTCCTGCCTTTCAGTGACGTTCCTTCCTCCAGGTGTAACAAACAAATTCTGACTTAAGCGTTTTGTCTGATCTTTGTGCAGCAGAGTTTTGTTTTCATACCTCAGGGGACACATCACTATGYGTCAGAATTTGTGGCAATTAGCAGCAAAGAGCTCCAGATCATGAAGTGGTACGAGCAAAAATGCAAATAACTATTATCTCAATCAAAAGTCATAATCATTTAAACTAAAATCTTCATTGGAATAAAAAGTAGTAAATAAAGTTAGAAATTAGGAAACAAACCCCACAGTTTTATATCAGCAATTAATGTGTTTAAAAATGTTTATTTACAAACACTTTACCATGTAGTATTTCAGACAAATTTTACTGCATGCACTGATGTAGGTTTAAAATTTGTTGGATAAAGTGTGCAAATAAAAGTGGTTTGTTTACATTGAGTGTAGACCCGCAAACTACATTAGTCAACTCTATCAAACGGCATCATTTGATATAGTTCTGGAAAAGAATAATAATAATAACAAAAAATTGAAAAGTTTTTTTTTTTATATTTTCTTTAGGCACAAATATGACTTGTTTTAAGTCGAACGTGACAAGAATATACACGACTGGCACAGGATTATTTTAATTTTGAATGAATTTGAATAAATMTCTCAACAGAGTTTTGAATCTGTTATTAAAGTTAAACAAAGAAGAAGCACAATAGATATAAAAAAATGTCATTTTAGGTTTAAGTTTTGTTCCTGTGTGATGATTTGGTGTAATTTATAGGGTTTTCTGTTAATCTGGTCAAAACTTTGTAAAAAAAAAAAATGTTTTCTTGAACTCTGCCTTTGGTGTGTTTATGTTCTGATTGTAAGGATTCACGTGAATAAATTTTTTTGACATCAGTCTTGATTCCTGCGTTGATTCCTCTRCACAGCTTTGTGCAGTCTGTCAGAACAGTTTGAAAACGTGTTTTACGATTGTTGTCTCTGAAGTGAGCAGGCAGCTGGCAGGTAAGACAGATTCCAGTTGTGAGTTTTAGAGACATTTTCTCCACTGTTTGCCTGACGTGTCGAGAGCTTTGCTCAGGATGAAAAACCTGTTTGTACCGAGGGCCTAGAGCAGGAGTGAGAGGTGTGTATTCTGCCTGAACCTGCTCAGGCAGTTGTCCAAACTCGCAAATTAAATGAAGCCTGAAGCTCGCGGCTCCTCTTCAGTAGATGCTGTGAGGTAAGTTCTTCTCCCCCCACTCCATTGTCTGGTTTTGGTACGTGAGCTGCAGGCTACTGCAGAGTTAATTGCTGTCTTCTCAAAGTTCGTCATCTCGGTCACTGCATCTAAATAAAGTATCTTATTTAATGTCCCAGTGGAGAATTATTAAAATGAATAATTACAGAATGTTGCAAACACATTGTTGACCAACAGAAGGAGCTGTTGCCAGATGGAAATGGTTTGGTGCACACAATATCACAAGAGGCAAGTTTTTTTCTTTCCTTTTTTATTTAATTTGTATTTTTTTTAAAAAAATTAATAAAATAAATATATTCAACATAAATCACAGAGTTCCCTTTTGAATTGTTTACAGTTTGCAGAAACCAAATACAGTTGGAATTATGTTTTAATGTTAAATATTTTCCAAGACAATAAAAATAAAATATGCATATATAAGTTTAAATTTATTTAATCGGTTTTGGGCACTATTATAGAAAACAATGGCAATGACTACTTAATATTGGTGCAAAGGCTGAACTGTTTCATTAAAAAATAAAAGTCTGTAGTTAAGTCTGTGTTTCTTATTGCACTACAGCTGTCTTTCTTCACATTACTCTCTGCAGGGAAATCAGATTGAGACATTTTGTTTGAAAACATTATTGCTCTTTGGCTTTTGGCAGTGGGTACAAAGAACAAATAACAAATAACTCTCATCATACTGTTGCATTCAATAATAATACAGCAGCTTTCAGTTTTCAGCCAAAAATGTTTTTTTTTTAAGGAGCTGTGCAGTTTTTGGTTTCAGATATTTAATCATAATAATAATAATGATACAATTAATAATAATTGCTTATTTATTGTTGCAATGCTTAAGGTGAAGCAGCCACTATATTTATGCAATCAGGGACATTTCTCATTTATAAACCCTTTTTATATATTTTTTTCTTTTTAATTTTTATGTCTGTTAGTCTTTCTTCACAATCCCAAAGCTTTAAAATGTAATTAAGAAATTTTAAAAAGTATTTTTTATTTTATTTTATTTTATTTCCCATCAACGCCTCTGTGCTTATAAAGATTTCATAGACCGGAAGCACTGCTGTACTGTGATTTGAGGGGCGGGGCTTACAGCCGATTCCCCGCCCCACGAATCCGTTGATTGACGCGCGCCAATGGCTCCTCCTCGCAAAGTCTCTCCCCCCTCCCCCTTCGTTTTCCAGTGTAGTGCGTTGATTTCATACCAAAGTCATACTTAACATTCCACTTATACTGTCAAACGTCTGACAAATATTACGGAAAACAACAAGGCGCCAAAACACAACAAAGTTCCTAAAAAAGAGCAGCCGGCCTCCGAGAGAATAATAGGGAGACWGCCAGAGGAATAAAGGTAAGTTAAACTCAAAAACAAAGTTCCTCTCTTTCCAGCTTTAACGAACTGTGTGGAGCGTTTTCATGCCGCTTGTCTCGGTGAAGTTTTCAGATCTTTGTCATTTTTCACATTTTTGCGCGGAGCTGCCTGCGTTGGGAGGGAAGAGAAATATGTGGAGATTGGTACTCGATTGTGTTTGACTTTCCCAGTGAGCAGGAATATTTTTTGACAGGCTCCACAATCAGATTTCCACCAGCTGCCCGCTCTTTTGACAAACACTTTATTACAAGAAGAAAGAGGTTTTCTGTTCCAGGACAGCAGAAAGTGAGTCAGTATGTTTGTTTTCAGACCTGGACCCATCAGACCTGAGGAACCCATCAGTTTTACCACCAGCTGCCCCAAAGAGACACAGGAACGAGCTGGAGGAATAACTTCAACCTGGTTTGGACTTTTGCATCCTGAGAGGTAAGACAAGGAGGTCCTCATCAGTCAGTCCTCTCACTTCATCAGTCTGATAGGAGAGATACATCACAGATTAAAAAAAAAGGTATCTGAGCTTACTTTCTCTTTATATTAGGATGTAAAATACATTTAATCCAAATGACACTGCTTCTTTTCCTATTTTGTTTTTATTATTTAGACACAAGCTTGAAATCAAACGTGCTAAATTATTTTTATCAACTTTCAGCAACACGTTTCATATTTCAGTATTTGCTCAGTATTTGATTTATTTTATGATTGTATCAGCAGCTTTATTTGCAGTAAATACAGTAGATCAAATGCAAAAGGAGATGAGCACATGGGAGTTAAACTTTTCTATTTTAATACAGTTTAACTTTTTTATTTTTTGTATGCAAACGTGTTGCATTAACCTATAATTCAGTTTAATATATGTGCACACATTTACACAAGTTTATTTTATCTCCTTGTTTTATTATGCTTAGCTTAAATTCATGTTTAAATGTAATTTATTTCAGAAAGTTTACTTCTATACTAAATACAAAAATAGCAACTTTAATTCATTTTATTGAACTTAAAGTTACTTTCTTACGCTCTCTCGTTTTTTAGTGTCTTACTAATTAATAATTTAAGAATCTATAATTTTATACTTTATATTTTTGCTATGTGTATATATAATCATTCTAACAACCTTTTGCTCTTATAAATTTGTTTTTTGTTTGCTTGTTTGTTGCTTTTCTTGTTCTGTTTTGCTTTATGTGGTGTAAAGCACTTTCTGTTCAACTCTGTATGAAATGTACTTTATAAAGTTTATTTGATTGTTGATCAGAAAAAGATAAATCACACCTGAAGATATAAAAAATATTTTGAAGAATAGCTCATTATTGAGAGAAACTCTCTAGAAAATCAAACTTTAATCTCAAACAATATTAAAGCTCATTTAGAAGAAACAGTCCAAAAATATTTTTCTTTATGTTCCAGTTGCTACATTTTTATCTTGAATGTCACTCTTTATTCTGGACTTATTAAGTCTTTATCCAATACTGTTAGTCTTATCTGGTTAATTATTTAACAGTACATTTTCATTTCTTCTTCAGTCAACACATGGTGCATGTGATGATTCGCTGCAAAGTCCTACTAAGTACATAATTCATAGGTGAGGATTTGAGATGCATGGATAAGTAGCGGGCTAATTGTATAATTAGATGCTCCCAACCTCAGGCTACACCTGCTCTCAGTCTGTTGTTTCATCTCAGCAACTGCACAGATTTTTTAGTTAAGGACTTTTTTTTTTTTTACTGGTTAAAATAGTAAATAAACAGCATTCCAATTTCATTGGGTCACAGTAGCTGCACGGTTGAATCACTGACAGGTTTAACCAAAAAGCAGAATGCAGTTCGTCAAGTTGGTCGCAGTAAGCGGAAAAAACTTCTCAGCTCTGTTTTTTTAAAAAAATTGTCATTAATTCAAGTTGTGCTTTGTAACGTCTTTGCTGGAATATATATTTTTTTAATTTTCTGGTATTATTTTCAACAAGTTGAGTAAAAGTGGAGCACTGCAGCAGGCAAACAGTTGTTCCGCCTCTGCTTTTCATCAGCGTGGTCGTAAATTTACATAGAACTGTCTTGGTGTGGTCTTTGAAGCACTGCAGGGTTTGTTATGGCCTCAGTCCCTTTGGCACAACTACGCTACAAAGAATGATCAGACACTATTTGTTTAACCCTAACATTTGAGAAGCAAAATTAGCCCATCTTAGGAACTACTTTTAACTAAGGATCAAACAATAACCAAAGACTCCTAATGCTGATGGGCAAATCTGGAATGCATTAAGCATTTTGCTGCTCTGTCAGATTTCCCTTCAGCACGAACTGATCGGCCCTCACGGTGTCTTACCCTTTTTTTTATTTTGCTTCTCCTTCGCGAATTCAATGTATTTACTCTGTAGCTGCGTGCGAGGGTTAAATGTGAGGGAAAAGTTTTACAACCTCGCCCGTGTCATGGAGGTCAATTGGATTATTTGGGTTAGTATCCCCTGAAAGTGGCTGTTGTCTTGTTTTTATGTTCCAGCTGTGCTCCTTCAGGGTGAGAAAGTTAATAACAGTGTGTTCTCTTCTTTGGGCTGAAAGAAAATTCAATGTTACAATGTTTCTATGCTGAGAAAAGACRGCGTTATAGTTATTTTGGGTATGCTTTGAACATGTTTGCGATGGGATCGACTGACAGCTACCACGCCAGATTTTAGCTCAACATCTGAAAGATTCACTAAGGTGTCGCTAYGTTTGTGTAGGCTAAGTGGCCGCTAATTCGAATTGGGTTAACTCCAAAAGTTGATATGTTTTAGATACACAGCAAAGTATTATTTTTTCTTTATTGGATGATTAACCAAAATATGTTCAGTGGTTCTTTGCCAGTTGTACAGACGACTAAACAGACACACAAAAACATTATTGATCTGACTTTGCCTATGGCAACAAATGAAAAAAGAAAGAAAGAAAGAAAGAAAGAAAGTCAGCGTGTTAGTGTATTCCAACAGGGAAGTGCGTCCCCGTTTTGTGCCGTAATGTGTTTACTTTGGATGCACGTTTGTTGACTGCTTGTTGCTTCGCCTGTTTGTGTCAAACCCACAGAAGAGCAGCTAATGAGCTTGTGCCCATTTGTGCACCGGCTGTTCTTTTAGCACCATCTCCAAAAGTACTCATCCAAATGGTGGACACTATCTCCCCCCCTCCCTCCTTCTCAGGCCAGAACTGAACAAATACAGTTCCCCCTCATGCCTCTGTAGCAGAGGCACACTTGGAGAAAAGCAATAGAAAGGCTTAAATTGTAATCAAGAATACAATATGAAACTTTTAGCTGTTTTTTACAAAAAAATAAAAGTGAAGCGACCAAAATCCTTCACCACAAATTAGCTACTTCACTTTCAAAACACACTTTAACATCRCTATTTTCTTATCCCTGCAGTTTAAATTTACTCCAAGCCATCAGTTTTTTAACAGATAAGCTTTCTGGCATCTTGTTCGGACCACTCAGGGGAGGAGCCGGGGAGTGGCCTAGAACAGTATGCTCTTTGTTTCAGTTGTCCACAACTTGCTAAACRTTTTAGTTGTTCTTTCTCTGGTGACCAAATGCTAGGAGTGATGTTCCACACACTCAAAAGTGAAAAGAGCACAAAAAGAGACRTCTTAAAAAGTATACGCTATGGTTTTTGCAGCCGTCAGTTGACATTACTGATAACAGGAGGCTCCCCCCCTACTGCAGGCCTGTCTTTCGTTTCATAAGTGTGTTCGGCTTGTGTGCCGTTGTGGAGCTCCAGTGACCCAAGGGCACTCATGTGAAACTCCTTTAATCCCTCAGTGCAGGGTGATTTATGCTGGGGGGATGATCTTCCTCTTCAGCACAGAGTTTATTTATTCCAGTCATTTTTAGGATGTTCGAGTCGTTGTTTGTACATCAAATGATCAACAGCACATCAAGCCGAATCTCTTGGTGCGCTTTTTCAGTTTTTCCTTGTAAAATTCCCCCGTGTGTGTGACTCCGATCAAAGTCATGTCTTCTCCCTTTGTTGCCTTATGGCACGATTCATACAGTTGGAGGAGTTAAGCTCTCTGCTGCAATCCTAAAGGTTTCACAGAATATGGCCTCAAACCGCTCCCCTTCACCACAAAATGACCAATTCAGGCTAGAACGGCTTCTCGGCTACGTTCTTTGGAAAATATCCGATTAGAATGCTGATTCAGAATGTGGAAAGGAAAAAAGGAAAGACACTAGCTCAGTTTCTGTCACTTCTTTCCTTTATAGACCGTGTAACTGTCTGAAAGCTTAACAGCTCTTCTTGTAGCCAGGAGCATATACTGTATTATTAAAGCTGAATAATTGAGGAATATATTGGCCTTGAAGGGAGAGTTTAGTCATTTTTGAGTCATGCTCTGTTTCATAGTTATCAATAATTAGTACCTTATCAAACATGACAACAGTCATAGACCATGGTAACATATTCTCACTCCTGACTCGTSACATATTGACGCTTTTCCAAGGTTCCCTCTCTGTCTTATTTTGACGTGTCGGGTACACCCATCGCGTCAGTTATTGACGCAACAGGCATTTCCGTGTTTCCTTAGCATCCATGTTTGATGTGTTGGGACACAAAATATAGGGGTCTTTGAGTTGGGGTCCGTGGTTAATATTAGGGATCAGGGTTCTTGGTTAATTTTAGGTAGTGGGGTCAGGGATGGGATGTCTAGGGCGAATATTAGGTAATTTTAGGCTTTGGAACACGCAGTTGACGTGAATTTCCTACACTTTCTAAAAATGTTTAATTTTTGGTATCAGGGTTAATGGTTAATTTTAGGTACTAGGGTCAGGGACAGGATGTCTAGAGTGAATAAAGGTAATTTTAGGTTTTGGGACAGTTAGTTTTTGTGCATTTTCTACGCTTTCTGAAATTATAACAACGGATTCTGCCCCACGGGAGGCGGGGTACCCGACGCGTCAAAATCTTACGCAGAGGGAACCTTGGAAAAGTGCCAATATGTGACGACTTGGGAGTGAGAATGGGTTGAACACGTAGTATGAAGAAAGAGGCAAAAGTCTTCATTCAAGCTAGAGGCTAATGGCTAACCAAACTATTGCCAGAACCTTTAAGGTTTTGCTCTGGTTTGACTTGTGACACTCCTTTAGCTTTTAGAGTATCAGAGCGATGCTGCTTTTGCAGATGAGTCTGTATGTTTCAAAATAAATTAATTGAAATGTTTGACCATTGTGTAGCTATTAGCACCATATACTGTACAGAATGTCAGCTTATTCCAGTTTAGATTGCTTTCRCACAGAAACTGTGATTGCTCAGTCTTGCGTGTAAGTCATTAGTATTGTTTTCCTTGGGCTTGCAGCTGGTATCAGACTGCAAATGTTTGACTTGACAAGAGGTGAATATGCTGTGTGTGCGTGCGTGAGTGTGTTCATGTGTTTGTCTCAGATTTTCCTTCTGCCTCTTGCCGTGTGAGTTGCTG